TGCCCATTTTCCTACTAAGTGATTCACATTTTACCACTTTACTAGAGTGCAATTAGCTGAAGCAGAAAAAAATGCTCAGTGTAAAGCAGCTCGGATGAAATTGTTACTCAGCTCTTTAACAGGACCTGGTGAATGTCTTGAGGTGTTGTCGTGGGTGTCAGTGTGAGAAGCAATGTTTTGGTTTCTTTGCACACAAATGTGGTTTTTTTTCTCTGTTACAGTCAGGGAAACCGATTATGGGAATTCACTGGAACACGCTGACTTTTTTTGTCTGCTGATTTTAGTACAGACCTTCAAAATGATACTGAAAGTAAGCACAGTATTTAGAAGGAAATGTGGTATTTATAGTCAAAGCGAGGATCTGGCTTCCATTCCTGACTGCTGCAGACTTACTGTGTCACTTAGACAAAGAGATTCTTTAATGCATTGGCTGTCACAGTTAAAGTCTGAGGATAGCAAGACCTTTTTGGTAGACATCCATGTGAGAGGAAGGTATTGGAGGAAAATCAGATGGGTGGTACTGTTAGCATGAAAAGTACCTAGGTGTGCATAATAACACCTACCTTGCTGATGCTCCCACATTGTAGCTGTCATTACAAATGTCAACTGCTAACAACCTATTCTGATATTTATGAATGTAGGGCAGTTTTCTCCCCAAGAAAAGAAAATACTTCATGTGCAGGTAGGAAGTGGACTTTAGTGTTGGTCTGCAGTAGAAGTGGTCACTTTAATTATTGTAGTTAATTATTACTGCCACAGATACCACCAGTCTAGCTCTGAAATAGCGAATGATGCTGTAAGCAGAACTTTTCCTTCTTGAAAAAAACGTGAAATGTGTTCATGGACTGTGAGGTATTGGCATGTTGTTTTGGCCTCCTTTGGGTATTGGTAATAAGGGAGATGAGGGAAAAGTAAATTTGTGAACTTGTTATATATATAGATGGAATATGAAGAGCTCCTAGTAGCTGGAATGAGGCTTTCTTTCTTAAGGCTATATACTGTAATCAGATGCAGTTAATTTTTGCATTCCACTTGTATATTGATACTGATTTAGCCAGTGTCAGCACTGTCAATATCATTAGTAATGTGGCAGGTAGATGGAAATATGAATGTGATTGCATTAATAAATTCTTAATATATTCAGGCTTTCATAAGCACATAGCATTACAATTTATTCGCTATTGTTTAAGGCCATTTTAAAGAAGAAGTTGCCTATTGCAGTGCTCTGTCATTGTATCTTTCTGCCAGCAGATCCTGGCTTCAGGTCTTTCTTAAATGAAGAAGTTTTGAAGTAAATTTAGTGTAGACATGAAGAGTTAATGCTGTATATTGCATATTAACCATGGCTTGCAGCACCCTATGTATTTTCTCTTGTATTTGGCCATGGAAATGCTTCTGGAGCCTGTTGTTGCTTTTCCTGAGGGTACTAAAAGGAAAGTTTACCTGAGATTTCCCACTTGTTAGAAAACTTACTTCAGAACAGCCCACCACAAATGGAACTGCCATTTATTTGACTTAAAATCTAGTAAAGAAAAAAAACAACCCCACCAAGGCTTTAAAATAAATACTGTACGTTTTTATATGACACATGTTATTTCTATTCATAAACCTTAACTAAATTTAGATTTTTATTAATCCAATGTGACCTAAAAATTTTGCATTAACAGCACAATGTGGAATTGGGCTTATTCTCTTTGAATGCAGATAAAGCCATCATCTTGAAAATAGCTCTTTCTGACAAAAAGGTGTTCTTTTGAAATAAAGTCTTATTCACTACATTCCTCTTAGAGTTAATGTGAATTTTAGTGCCTCTAATTTTAGATTGAAGTGAGGTCTAGAATAAAACCCACTGGCTGACAATTGAATTTATAGATAGTTGTGAATATTTCAGGCTTGAATAATAGAGCTGTAGAATTTCAGACACAGAGAGGAAGAGAGAATTAAACTCCAACTGTAGTTTTACACTATAATGCAATGGTGTCTAGGAATTCTTCAGTGTAACGAGCTAAGTAGTAATTAGGAGGGAACTGAGGGAGGGATTTTACAGAGATCTAGCTTAGGCATTATTCCAAATGTTCAGCATGATAATTTGATGGTGGTCACACCTGCCATCCGTTTTAGATGGCTCTTGAATTACTTTTGTTCAGAAGTGGTGCAGGAAGGAAGGAGTGAAAGCCGTAGGTGTCTGTTGCCCACCCACAGCTAGTACCCAGCCTCGTCTGTGTTTCACCTCCTGGGGATTGAGAAAGTTTCTGTTCTCAGAGTCAGGCGCTGTTGTTTTTGCTTTTCCCTGGAATCGTTAATGTTTTAACCGTGTTTACGCTTTGCCAGCGCGCACCGGTCCGGTCTGTACTGTTGAAGCTGGAGCCAAAAGCAGCTCTGCCTTGGTTAGTACCAGAACCTGCTACTTCAGAGCCATCAGCAGGCTGGCTTTAACACAGGCAGCACTGTGATCAGATTTTAGTGCTTGTTAGAACTGAGATGGTATTTTGGTTTAGGCTGCTTGGAGTGGGAGATAGCTGCTCCTGTACTGGCTAAAACAACGTGCAGTTGAGCAGCTAATTAATTACAAATGGGGCTTTTTTTTCAGGAATGGGAAGGGTGACATTCGGGCTCATTATTGCACAAATTAGATTAAAAAAAATGTCAATGGAAGTTTCACACAAGAATGTGTCATCAAGCTGGTTATGACAGACTATAGGCAGTGACTCCTAGTGCTGTATTTTGAGACTTTACATGTGGAGTCTTGGCAGAAGGGAGGTGAAAAAAGAGCAGAGTACATGTTTAGTCAATAAAAAGATCTTAGTGTGTAGAAAAATAATATAAAAAAATCAGTTGGTAAAATGTGGAAGTTAATTGATAATCTTAATCACAGCTGTATAAAATTCAGTGTCAATGCAAGGGGAGAGAGAGACAGAGAGACACCATGTTTTAGTACCCTAATAACTTCTTACTCTAGTCTAAGATTGTAATGTATGTGAGAGCGGTCCAGTAATTATAAGGTAATAAGTGGAGTGGTGGTGTAAGTGCTCTAAATTAAAAGGAATTCACAGAGCTGCTGTAAGTCAGAGCCGACCCGCTTTCTTTCAAACGTTGACTTGAGAAAAGTGCTTAGCCCAGAGTGCAAGTAGAAAGACAAGAGAGAGCTATCTATTAATTACAGCACTCATTAACAGTGACGGCTACAAGGCAGCAGATGCAGAAGAAAAGGCACACGCTACTGCAGGCTGGCAAGGGGATTTCCCCCCCTCCAGTTCTTGAGGAAAGGACAACACAAGCAGGTGGTCCACTGTAATAAGATATTTTCACGGCTTTAACCTTCCCATTTCCTTGGTTTATTTGCTGACACCAGATAGCTTGCTCCTTCCACCTCCCCAAATAAGCCCTGATTTTATGTTTAGATGGTAACATTTCTGTACATCAATCTGGCTGTTTTACGAATATGCACATTTGTTATTTTCAATAGAATTTTACAGTAAAAATCACAACAATTGAGAAGTCTAAATGAAATCCATGGGCACTGATTTTAGGGTGAATCTCATCTTAAACACTTCTCTTTAATGACGGGTCAGGCTCTTATCTCCATTACCCCCATTGGGAAGGAAGCCAACGCTTGATTTATGTCTTTTTTCCATTGGTGAATTTGATTCCAGATATTAAAGTAGAAATTGATGAAAAATTTTTGTTCTTAAATAAAAAGAAGTGGAAAAATGAAGACAAGATCTCAAAAATTACTTCAGAAAATTATGTCAGTCAAATTGTCTGGACTTAACATATTTGCTTTGAAAACACAAATCCATAGCTCGAGGTGGTCCTATAGGATAGTTGCTTTTCTGCAGTTAGTGTTTCTAAAGAAATGTTCATAGCTATGATCTGACTTCGGCAGCTTGTGAGAGTACTGTCAGGAAAATGCTGGATAGGCCATTTGCTACTGTGGTCTCACAATCACAGCTGGAGAAAACGAAGATAATATCTGAATCAGAGCTTTCTAATTATTATTTTTGTCCTCTGTTCATTCCAAAATATGTTAATAGTAAAAAACTTGGGGATGGAAATAGATGAAGTTTTCTCCCCCCAGTCCTCCCTGTAGAAAGCAATAATTTGTTGGATCAGATACTGTGTAGTTTTATTTCAGATGCTTAATTCTGAAACTATGAGAACTGAGAGGAAAAAAATTTCACTTTCTGAAAGACAAAACCTATATGTAAAATTTCCTCTAATACATGTTTTTAATCCAAGAATGGAGCACATAAAATGTCAGATCCTATAGAGCTGTAGATATATGGGATAGTGCTGTAGTTATTACTGGTTAGTCTGAGGATAATGGCTGGAAAGTAATTGCAGCCACAGCTGATGAATCATTTCACTTAGATTTTGTGAAAATGGAGTTCAGCTGTAATTATTTGTTAGAGTACCCCGTTGATGTGCTACTTCGTTACTAAATAGCTGTATCTATAATAAAGCAATATTAATGAAGAAAAAAAGATTGCAAGGGACCTGCTCTTCAGTTCTTGAATCAGATCAATAGATAATGGATATGTGTTTTAGTTAAGTGTCTTGACAAATATTAATTACAGAGCAGAGCATTTATGTGATCAAACTTGAAACTATTTGTTTCTGATAATGGTGGAATTTACAGAAAGAAAGTAGAGATGGAAAAATGAAGACGTTTAATAACCAGGCCATCTAATAGGAATTATAAGATTGTTTTACTTGGTTGATGACAAATTCAGAATTTAGAGTTGATGTGAAGTTGACATGTAGCCTAGAGGGCAGGTGGAGGGGACAACGGAAGGATTTGGTCTCTTTAAAGTTTTTGTTTACTGCCTGTCTGGAGCTTTGACAAAGCTCTGTCATGCCCTTATGCTGATTACCTTCATGTAGAACAAGAAGTATTGACTAATGAATGAATGATGTGCAGCCCCTAACCCTTCCAGAGCAGCCTTAAAGAGCACTGTCTTTAATACACACATTCTTCTTTCTCTCTCTCCCCTCTGCAGGCTTCTCTGCAGAATGTCAAGCAAAGATCGACACATTGATTCCAGCTGTTCGTCGTACATCAAGACGGAACCGTCGAGCCCCGCCTCTCTGACGGACAGCATCAACCACCACAGCCCCGGTGGCTCCTCCGACGCCAGCGGGAGCTACAGTTCCACCATGAATGGCCATCAGAACGGGCTGGACTCGCCTCCCCTCTACCCCTCGGCCACAGGGCTGGGGGGCAACGGGCCGGTCAGGAAACGGTACGACGACTGCTCCAGTACCATTGCTGAAGACTCACAGACCAAGTGTGAATACATGCTGAACTCGATGCCCAAAAGACTGTGTTTGGTGTGCGGTGACATTGCGTCAGGGTACCACTACGGAGTGGCCTCCTGCGAGGCCTGCAAGGCTTTCTTCAAGAGGACGATTCAAGGTTGGTTATTTGTTAATCTTGCTTTCTTTTGCTCAGAATGAGCATGTATAGTCTTGGGCTGAAGCCTGTTAGCACTTCAGACCGTGCCTTTTCATTCTTCGTACTGCTTGTTCCTACAGACGTTGCTCGTGAAGAAGCCCCTTTGGGCTTCTTTGGGAGCTCTGCCTGTCACATGCCATGTTTATTTTGATTCCAAAAAATGGAAAAGCGCTGGAGCTAACCAGTGGATGTTCAGATTTGTTTTCTCTGAGAGTTTGTCTGGATTCCCGTAAATGATTGTTGCAAAGAAAGTGGAGCATTTTCTGAAGGTTGTCATGGACGCCTCTTGAACACACCCTGTGGCTGGCACACAGGATTGTGCTGGTGTGTTGCTCCTAGATACACCACTACTGTACTTAAATTGTCACAGAAATCTAGTTTATATTTGTGAAAGAACCAGTGCATGTGAAATTGGAACAAAAATGCAATGGTGTAGTGCTTTGTGCATATCAGTGTATTGATAACTGGTCTTTCACCCACTATATACAGTGACCTTAAATGAATTTGTCAAATAACTGTAAGATCACATTCTAAGGAGAGTAAGTTGGCAGCTTTTGGTCTCTGCTCAGTATTTTTTACTAATCTGCTCTTGATACCTATTACAAATATGCCACATATTTTGGCATAAATTAGTACAAATGGGAAAATTTGCATGACTGCTTTTTCTAGCTTCAGAACCTATGGAGACAAAATAACCTTCTACTTTGATTTAGATATCATCCGTTCAAGTAAAATTGAAGGTGCTTTATTTAAAGAACATGAGGCCAAGCTTGGCCTGTGCAGGAATATAGTGTCACATTAAATTAAACTCAGACTTCAGAGACTAAAATTAGGTTGCTAAGTCCAAATTTAAGCTTCTCAATAAAACCTGCTTGATTTTCATACATGTTGAGCACCTGAAATTCTCAGGAAAGGCAATGCAGTCTGGTTATATAGTTTTCTTTTTAAGAATGAACATAAAGTGAGCTTCAGTTTGTCATTTCATATATCCCAAATTAAAAAAAAACGTTTCGTCTTAAGTATAGTGCTTCCATATTTAATGTAAAATTAGTGAGGAAATTTGATTTATATATTGCTGAGGCAGTGGCCATTTTATTCTTCTCTCTTCCATTTTGCTACTGGGGAGATTTGGGGCTTTTACCAGCATGAAGAGCCCATTTTATGAGGGACATCCAGACACTCAAAAGAAACATTATACTTCAGTTGTTCTAATGGAGCTGAATGTTACACTGTTGGCAACCAGTAAACAAAGATTCTTAATGGTGGCTGGGGTTTATATGTAAAATAAGCACACATACAGAGACAATTTGCTCATTTCAATTCTCTGTATTGGAAAAAATAAAAAGAGGTAGGTGATTTCACTTGACCTTCAAGAACATTTTCAGAAAAGCTCAAAAAATGTTTCTACTGAAGCAATTTTTTATTTTTTGGTTGCTAAACTTCAAGCACCAATTTCAACTAGCAACTCTGTTTTTATAAATGGTCTTTAATTGCTGTGTAATAGCTGTCCTACAGGACTGAATTGATGCACGATTATTTTAGTTGCATTTTGAGCACCAAAAAAACTGCTACAGAAACAAAACCTGATTGAAGTGTTGACTTCTGGCAGTAATAGGTAACCTGCAATTTTACACCACACCACAGACAGAAAGTTTCTGGGCATGGGAGCACAAGGCAGAGACGTCATCCTCCAGATTAGCAACCTGGACTTGGCCACGCAGCTCAAGTTAGAACTGGCAGCTGTGCAAAAAGTCTCAGTGCGGTTGGAGCACGAGCTGCATCAGCAGGTGACAGTGCTGTGAAGACAAAAAAAAATGCAGCAGGGCAAAACCAAGCATTGAAAAGAAAAGCCATAATGAAGAAACTAAGAATAGGAAGTACATTACCCATCATAATGTCATGGCAGCATCTTTAGCAATGGTCCTGACTAAACTGGCACAAATACTGAGAATTTTCAGGTACCATCCAAAATAATGGAAGCTACTTGGGTGAATCAAACCATGGGTTTTGGTAGGTGACAAAATGTATAAAAGAAAAAAGGTGCTTCCTCATGATTTGAATGGGAAAATTCTACCTTTAGGCTTGCATGAGGAGTAATTCCCCTGAGGTTTTTTGTTCTAATTGATAAAATTTAGTTCCAGTGCTTTGGAGGTCATTCCTCCCTGCACTGTTTCATTTCCTTGTTCATATAATGTTCCTTCTCTCTCTCTCTCTCTGCTTATTTTTAAAATGAGTTTGCTGCTGCATTACTGCAACTAAGAAAACAGGAGAACAGAAACAACAGGCAACAGGCTTTGAAAGACAGAATAGAAAACCAGGTGTCAAATATTGTACCTGTGCATATGTAGGGATATCATGTTTCTGCTCAAAGAATTTCTTACTTTAAATGCTAATAGCTTAATTGTGATGAGTTCTTTATTATAGATTCAATGAAAAAGAACATAGGACTTCCCAAACCCTTGTTGATCATTCATCAGTTTACTAAATTAGCTCAGACTTGTAGATCCTCAGTGCTATTCCTGTTGAAATCATGGGCACAACTGCCCTGACTTCAGGGAGAGGAAGGCTGAGCTGATAAAGTCAGATTATGAAGCACATCCTGTGTTCGTGTAAGGCCTGATGTCCTTTCCACTGAGTCAATGGGAATCTTTCCATTCCAGCGGAGTCTCTTGAGGTCTCAGCAGGTGGAGGCCACAGGCAGCTGCCCAGAGAGCCAGCACAGTTATTTGTGCACCACCAGCATCTCACACAAGACAGACGCCTCACAGGCACCTAGCAGCTCCTACACAAGGCAAATATCACTCTAATGTAGAGTATACACCTGTTTTTAAGGGTAATGGAGATTGTCATTCCCTTTCCAATTTAGCAGTTTAGTGTAAGTAACATCCAGCCTCCTGGTATCAATTCCTGCTTATTTCCTTAAACATTAAGAAATTAAATTAACCCTGTTTTGATGTATAAGAAGGAGTAATTTTGTCATTTTAGAATATATATTTGTTAACATAGCCCAAAAATAGGTTTGCAGTTTTGGTAAAGTGTGCATAATTATGATAAAAATCAATAATATTAGAAAAAATTAGAAACAAGCAATTTCCTGGCTAAAAAAAATGAAAGAGAACGAACGCACCAGAAAAGAGCTCAATATATAAAATTGGTGTCTTCTTAGGTCATAGTAGAATGCAGTGATGTTCTGCCCCTTTTGTGAGATATAAGGTATGGAAGAACTGGATGTTCTCTCTGCTCAGCCTAGCACTCACTCAGCTGCAGCTCTCAGTTTGCTTCTGTGATAATTTACATGGTGGCTGATTGCAAGTGTCTCACAGAAATACACACACAGCCAAATCTTCCCAAAATTGGCTTAACATCAGGGATGGTAGAAAATAGCAACATCTAAAAATAGTTACAGGTCTATTGATTTTTAGGGTCTCTTCACAGTTTTTGCTGTGCACTGTATTATCTTGAAAACTCTGAGCTTTCATTAAGAGAAAGAGGAGAAAAAAAAGAATTTTCAGTTGTCAGCTGGGTTCAAAGTCTTGTGTTCAACACAGAGGTCTTGTACTTGCTAGATATTTTGTAGCGAATATTTAATGTAAATATATTTATCATAATTTTGGTCAGTTATCATATGTACTAGTAAGTATACATTTTCATTAATCATATGTAATTACTCAGTGTTCATAACTTAAACATTTCAGCAGATGGATTGAACTGGTATTCTTGCTTTCAGGAGAGGGCTGAGATGATATGACTTTCAGGTTCAAGACAGATTATTATCCTGTTTTATGTTAGCTTTTATCTCTCTAAACTAATGGCCTGCATCTAGAAGACTTTCATCCTCCCTCGTTCCAAATTGTCCAGACTGTTGTCTTTGGACTCTTTAAACTAGCCTGAAAAGACAATGTGTAAAGCCTGCACATTCCTCCTAAGGCTTCTCACAAAAGTCTCAGATCTTACTTATCATTTCCTTCAATATTGTTTGAATTTTCCCCACAAAAGCTAAATATTTTGCATTCAGTAGTCTTTGTTCTTGAATTTTTACTTTCTTGGGGGTTTTTTGTTTATATGTTTATTTTTTGAGGAAAAACTGTTGGATGAACAGCAGTGAGGCATCAATGTTCTGTGTGTACACAGGGTGAGTAAAGCAGTAGTTGGTAAGAAGCCCTGCAGTCAAACCCTCACTGTTTTATCATTTCATCCCTGAGAGTTGCTGCCTGTCCATGTCTCCTAACACAAACAGGGAATACTCTATCCGTGAAATGCTGTTGTCTTCTGCTATCTCATTTTATGCTGCTCAGCTAAGAGCCTTCAGCTCTACAGTTCTGCAGGGATGTTCCCGTTGTCTTCAAAGCCTGCCCAAACTCTCTGTACTTTGTTCAGCTCTCTGGTTACTCAGAGTTGTTTTTAATCCCTCCAATGTTCAGGTTTTTCAGTCCCGTTTAGAGTGTTGACCCATTATTGAGCCAGTTTGAACTGTAAATATGCAAACACTTTACAGTAAATACATTTTTATTTTTCAATCAGGAAGTTTTAATCAAGAAAGGTAGAACTAGGTATGTACATTCAGATAAGGCAACATAAAGTTTGATTTGAAGTTGCATGTGACTGAAGTGGCTTCCAAAGGGTATTTTGCATTTCTGAAAGCTGTCTTCTGTAATACATTTTTGAGGAGGAAATGAAAGAAAATCAAACAAGATTTTATGGCTTTTCAGCTTCTATGCTGATAGCTAAGATTATTGTTGTTTTATAGAAGGGTAGGGTGGAGGCTCCCATCTTGGTGCACTGGCCTGTGGACCTTGGCTCTGGTGCAAAGATGGCAGCTCTCCAGTGAGCTGAGCACTAAATGTCACCTGAATCCATCATTACCTGATCTAATCATTCACCTTCCTTATATAAGTGGAAGACTGTGCATCAGCACTTCTTTCAAAGAATATTTTAAGCAAGCAGTGATAGATATCTTCCGT